TGTGTGTTCAATCCCTGGGTCGGGAAGATCCCCTGGAGGAGGCCACGGCAACCCACTCCAGTTTTCTTTCCTGGAGAACCCCATGGACAGAGAAGCCTGTCGGGCTATAGTCCACAGGGTCACAAAGAGTCTGACACGACTGAAGCGACTTAGCACGCACACACAACGTCTTTGTGAATCCCTCCTCCTCACTAGGCGAGGTCTACTGCTCTTATTCACTAGTTTTTGTAGCTCCAGCGTCATACAGGATGACCCAATAGAATGGTTTCTGTATGAATGAGTTGACCTGAAAAACTGGTTTCTCTTCTGGTTATTATCCTTGAACTGACCCAAGGGGAGGAGGATATCAGAGGCTCTCTTTGCAGGGGAAGTAGTACATGGAATATGAATGGAATGGAAACGTCTCCAGAACGTGAGCTATCATGCAAAACACAAATGTCTTTATGGTTGGCTGGGATGAGTGATGAGGACTCAAAAATACATGCAATTCTCGTCTCGGAATTTCACATTTTGTTTTGGAGAAATCTGGCTTGCTCAAGAATATTCTGTATTTGTCGAGTACAGCACTCAACAATATTTGCAGTTTTGCTAAATGCATTACTTCATCTCAGTCCTTCGGTCTTGGGCAAGGCCACTCTTGTCACCCAAAAGGTCCTACAGCTCCTCACATAGCCCCCATACCACATTCACCCAGAAACCTTCAACTTAAGCTGTCCTTCAAGACTCCGTCTGCCTGCTAGCTGGGAATAGTCTGAGTTAATCCCACCTGCTATGAGGCTGCAGGGCACCATCTCCTCCTAGGGCACCAAAATACAAGCTAAACTCAAATCTAAATGTTTAGCTCATTTGTGAGGGCAAAGCATTCAAGATCACTGAGCACCACTCACTCATAAAAGACCATTTCCCACGCTCTGCAAACACAGTGTACATCTCTCTCAAGCTAAGGGACTTTTCATCACGTGTCATCTCCCGCCACCCCCACACTGGTCCCTTCCCCAAACACACCTTTCAGTCCTGCCAACACCTGGCCTCAGTAAACTGCTGACACAAGGAAAGTGCCGGTCTAAACAGCCACTCAAGACGTCAGCTGGAGGATCGGCCTGTAATTAACTAACAGTCACCACATCAAGGCCAATCCTTTCTAAAAGCTTTCGTTTCAACGGCTTGACTTATATCAATTTTTACTCTTCTTGGTCAAAATAGCCTCTAATCACCTTTGCAGGACCTACATTGGATGCCTCTCCTTTATGCTTTCTAAGCACTTGGGCATATAATTCTGTTGAGGGCCCAACCATAGGGCCTGGAAAGGTCTGTTTATCACTCCACTAAGCCGTGAACTCCTCAAAGGCTGGTATGTGTCTTAGGCATTTCTACCCACAAGCAGGTGCCGTATGTGGCCCAGACTGGCCACTCTCTATTCATCTGTCAAAGGAAAGGGAACCAACCCTGGGCATTACAGTAACAGTCCTCACACTTAGGGCTGTTACAGTCCTGATAGAATATTATCTTAAAGTCACAACTTATTTTGGAGCCACAGTAAAACATTGACTTAAGTCCACGTCTTGTACTAGATCTTATCAGTCAAGCAACAGGGTTTAAGGAAAACTGCTGTGGGGCTCCCCTGGTGGCCCAGTGGTAAAGAATCAGCCTGATAATGCAGGAGACGCGGGTTCAATCCCTGATCGAGGAAGGTCCCACGTGCCAAGAAGCAACCAATTCAAGCCCTGGCCCCACGGCTACTGAGCCTGTGCTCTAGAGGCTGAGCCCAGGAGCGGCAACTACCCAAGTCCGCGCCCCGCAAGAGTATGTGTGCGTGGGGTGTCGCTTCAGTCGCGTCCAGCTCTTAGCGACCCCGTGGACTGCAGCCCGTCAGGCTCCTCTGTCTATGAGATTCTCCAGGCAAGAATGCTGCAGTGGGTTGCCATTTCTTCCTCCAGGGCATCTTCCCGACCCAGGGACCAAACCCGAGTCTCTTATATCTCCTGCTTTGGCAGGTAGGTTCTTTACCACTAGCGTCACCTGGGAAGCCCCCACAACAACAGAAGGCACCACGGCGAGAAACCTGCAACTAGAGAGTAGCCCCCGTTTAACACAACTAGAGGAAAGCCCGTGAAGCAGTGAGGAACTGGCACAGCCAAAACAAAGAAAAAAGAAAAACTGTTGAAATTCTGAGACTTGGGAGGAGATCATCACAGTCGCAGTTCAGGAGCAGCCACCTGATCTATGTACACAGACCCCAAGTATCACAGGGACATTGAGAACCATGGATCAGTCGTTTTTACTGGCTCCAGCCACATTCTGACAAAATAGGAAAAACTACAAAGTCTGAGCTGCTGCCAAGGTTCTGTGTAACCTTTAAAATCCAAGTCTGTCAAAGCCAGCTCCTCTTCTGACTTAGTTCCATTCACTCCATTCTTAACACCAATCCATTCTCAACACCAATCCATTCTCAAAAAGACATGACACAGTTGTACCCTTGTCCCCAGCAGGACTGAGTTCTGAGAATGAAAGGGACCTTCTTTTCCATTTCTAGTCACCAACACAGCACAGGCCCTTATATTTCTGCTTGGACTAGTCAATGGACTAAGTGGATTTCAGCTTTTCTTCTGTGTAACCCACTGGTCTCCTTTTAAGTCAGCAGTTCAAATCCGGGATGTTACTGCCATCCTCTCTGCCCCCGGACATTTGGCAATATCTGGAGACATTTCTGGCTGTCACAACTGGAATCCTGTGGATACAGGCCAAGACAGGCCCCTGCAATAAAGAATTATCTGGCCATAGATTGCCTTGTTCCTGGGGGCCAGTCATTTCAATTCTTTGAACATCAGTCTCCTCATCTGTAAAATGGGGTTAAAGCACCTACCTCAAAGGGCTGTAAGCAGAGAACTGACTCTGCACTGGGAACTTTCACACATTTTTTAAAAAACTGCTAATGCTGTTACTTTTGTCTCTTTCCTCAAACAGAATTAACCTTACACTGAAACAGACTAAAATGGACACTGAGAATGGTAACAGAAGCTTGCAAGAAGATTTAAAATAAGCATCAATGAGGGGCTTTCTGAGCCTGGATAAATTATATGTCAGTAAGATAAGCAAGCATCAAGACTGCTGAACCATGGTTAGAAAAGTGCGATTAGCCTGGAAGGATGTTAGTGTCATTGCCAAAAAATGCAGTAAACACATTTAGAAAATTGTGGGATGGAAAAGAACTGCCATGGAAAAGAGAAAGCCCACAGGAAGCTGCAGACTCAAAAGTGAACACAAGGACCCAGCATCGGAGAATCCTGGCACACTGCCCTCTCTTCTCCAACAGAACCCTGTCCACAGGATGCGTCTGGAACGCTCTGTGAACTCCAACAGCACTTCTCATGAGAGTCTTGCAGAAACATGACTTGGGTAAAAAACAACTGGAATAACTGCACCAAAGGTGCTGCCTTGCCCAATGCCACCGAATGGACATCTGCTCCCATTTCCTCCCCAAACCCACTTCCTCTCTGTTGCAATTGAGGAATTCCCCCCCCCTTCTATCGGGGGTCAACCCCTCCAAGAATCCTGGACATAGCCGCCATCCTTCCCAAAGACCTGACTCTTTCAGTTACCTCTTCTCCACCATCCAACTTCAACATGCCTCACTCACTATGCTGTTCATCCCACCTCTCCCCAGCTTCTACCCCATTGCTCAGCACCTCCCGAGCCCTCGCCAGCCACCGTCTTGAAAGCATCATTCTAACAGTCTTACTTCCCCACCTCTGAATTGACTTCCGTTCCATCACTCTGCTAAAACAGGCCAAGTCCAAAGTCACCCTTCTATCCTCATTTTACAGGTATTCTGAACTTTCATTCAAGAAGCCAAAACAGAACAAAGGTCAAAAAGTACAGGGGAAAAAGGATGTCTGACTTGCAGCAGCAGAAACTAAAGATTTTGATCCCAGGAAGTTCAGAATGAGTCTGATCTTAGAAGGCCATCACACTCTGTATCAGTTGAATAGTACTTGGAATTTCAGTTCTGAGAATGATGCACGCCTGTATGCTAAGTTGCTTCAGTTGTGTCCGACTCTTTGTGACCTTATGGGCTGTAGTCCACCAGGCTTGTCCATGGGATTCTGCAGGCAAGACTACTGGAGTGGCTTGCCCAGGCCCTCCTCCAGGGGTTCTTCCTGACCTAGGGATCAAACCTGAGTCTCCTGCATTGCAGGCGGATTCTTTACCGCTGAGCCACCCAGGAAGCCCTTTCTGAGAATGAGAACCCTTGCAAAATAAACCTTTCAAACTCTCACAAGTGCTTGAAGATGTAACCTGTTGCCTCCGAAAACCCTCTGTGGGAAGGGTTGCCTAGCTAAGAACAAAATCTTTCCCTGCATGATCACTTTAAAAATTTTCATCTAAACTCCACTCAAGGACTCTGACAAAGGAGCCAGTATTACAATCTTCTATTTAGCAAGTGAGAAAACATATTCAACTTAAGGCCGGGTTTTCAGACTCAGTTAAATCCAGACTGTCTCACTTTAAAGTTTAGAATATTGATGTATATTATTAAAGTGGAGAAACCACAGTGTCATCGAGCCACCGCTTTACATGGTGAAGGGACTGCTAGACCCGGCAAAGCCCTGGAAAAGAGCTTCCACTCCAGCCCCATCTGACTTTGGGAAACACTGGCAAGGGACTCCTGATTAAAGAGACTTTCCGCCGGTGAGAACCACAATCCTCCTCATGCGGGTTTTGAAATCTTCCGTTCTCCCCACTGCCCTCCTTCCTGCACAGGATACCTATCACCTGAACGACCCGGGGAGAAGATGTAATCCTGTCCGGACGCTCGCCTCCCTCCTTAGAGCACCGGGGGTCACACCGAGCCAAGTTGGCGCTACCCTTGCAGGTCCCGATGTCCGGAGCCCATCACCGCCGCCCCTCGGGGTCCCGGCAGAAGACCTCGCGGTCGGCTGGGACTCCGGCACACGGCCGCCCCACCCTGCCCCGCCCGTGCCCGCGCGCCGGCGGCTCACCAGCGTGGGACATGGGTGCGGTGAGGTTGCCCTGGCGCTCCTCGTTGTACAGGACCACCGCCGAGGCGTTCCTCCGCGCCGCCGCCAACACCTTCTCCTTGAAGGTGCAGCCCCCGCGCGCCACCAGCGCGACCCAGGGAGCGGTGCCCCGGCCGCCGGGCACGAGGAAGCGAGTGCCGGCCTCGCAGCCCTCGGGGTCGCGGTCCTCCGCGCGCGGGACGCCCACCAGGCCCCGCGCGCCCTCCTTGGGCGAGCTGTCGCCGAAGCGGCCGCTCTCCGAGACGCTCCTCACGCTCCGGTTGGTCTGCGGGTCCACGTACTCGGTGCTCACCACAGCCGAGAACCACTCGTGAGCCCGGCCCCGGGCCCCAGGAGCGCACAGGGCCAGCGCAAGCAGCGCCAGCGCGCCCCGGGCCTCGGGCCGCCGCCGCCACGCCATGGACGCGCCGCCGGGCTGACCACAAGGGGACCGGCCGGGAGCCGGGCGACTCCCGGCAGGGGCCGGAGGGCGCGCGCCGACGAGGCCGCTGAGAAGAGCGGAGAAGCGAAGTCTCACTGCCCAGCCAAGAAAGAGCGAGTCCGGTCTGCAAGCGGCGCCGCGGCGCACGCGCACCTGAAGGAGCGGCGACAGGGGGCGGGGCAAGGGCGGGGCTGGCGGGCGGGGCGGTGGCGCACGCGCACCTGACGGAGCGGCGGCAGGGGGTGTGTTGTTGCTGTGGGGGCGTGGCCTGCTCTGGCACCTCCCCTGCGCAGACCTTGGCGCCAGAATCGCGGGCCCAGGATCCACGAGTGTCATAGAGCATCTCGCTTTACCTAGCGGATCTCGAGGAGCGGGTGTGGGATATCACGCCGCGCCTTGCGCCACGCCGGGTCCCAGTGGCCAGGGGCCGAGCTTATGCAACAGGAGCTCCAGTGCCCAGAAACCTGGGGAAGTGACACACCCGCCCCCACCCGCACCCCGCCCCGAGAAACGGGGAACTTCGCAAGCCGGCCGAGAAGCGTGGGAGCGTGATTGTGTAAAATCACTGAGCGGATGTTTATGAAGAATTTACTGTGTAAAGCACGTGGCAAAGGCCTTGCTTGTCTAAAACACTGGAAAACAGATTAAAAACTCCAAAGCTGCACGAATTTTCCAGATCACTTTTGTTGCCGATTTTCTAAGGCTAATTGATTTCGGTATTTCATGTAGAGTCTGTAGTTTTTAAGTTAGTGCATCAAACTACTTGTTTAGATGAGCATTTAAATGGTACAGCAGTAAATAAAAAGAGAAAATTACTGTTTGGAAATAAAAACTGGGTGATGTCCATATGAAATTGCCCTGGAAAGGAAGCCTTACTGTTACAGGAAAAGAAGTTTAGAACACCGATTTCTGACTCATCTTCCTTCTTTGCACAAGAACCTATAATTGCGGGAAGTAGGTTGCTGTCACACAAAGCGTTTTGTTGGACTTGACATACTCTTCTGGTGTCCTCTTTGTTGAAAGGCTTTCTTGGACTGCATTTTAAAACTCTGCTCCAAAATTCAGCCCACAACACAAGTTTTCCTTGAAGTTGGATCTCCTTTCAGTTAACCACTAGGAAACTAGCCTTAAAAGCCTGAAAGGGGACTTCCTTGATGATCCAGGGGCTAAGACTTTGTGCTCGCAATGCAGGGGGCCCAGGTTCAATCCCTGGTATGGGAATTAGACCCTGCATGCCATAAGTAAGACCGGGAGCAGCCAAATGAATAAATAAATAAAAATAAATATTAAAAAACAAGACTTGAGGCCTTCCCCTTGTTCCAAGCCTAAAATAAAGGAAATAAGGTATGGTGGTCATGGCAGTGTAAGACCCCCACCATAAGCTCTACAAGCAAAAAAATACTTGTAATTCTCAGAAAAAGTGTTTATTGTTGCATGCTATGTCTTGCCACTTCATTTCCTTCTTCCTGAAGTCCTCCTGCTCCTGGCTCTTGTCCTGGAAAACACCAACTTCATCTTCAAAGTTTAACTCCCTGATCAGGGATCAGAACCCAGGTCCCTGCATTGGGAACATGGTGTTTTAGCCACTGGACCACCAGGGAACTCCTCAAAAGCTCTTTCTTCTGTGAAACCTTTCCTGGTTCCTAGAAGCAAAACTTGAGTGCTCCAAAGTTCCATGTTGCTAGTGCATGTTTTGCTTGCGCATCAATGTTATAGTAACCAGCAGTACTGCTTTTCAAACATAGTGTTTTGTCTTCTTAATAATATTGTGAGTTTCCTGAGGATCAGGGGTGTGTCTTTGCTGTTTTCACCAGCCTACAGCATCATGTGTGTAATTCATGTTTGTTAAATAAGCAAAATAGCTCTTTTGTACTACTTGAGTTAAAACTCTTATGATTACTTACAGGCTTATTGCTCAGAGAAGTTTGTAGGCTAATAGGCACTTCCACTGCATCACCAGGGAAGACCCTCTGGTACCTACATTTTGACTTTGCCCCTTGAGAAATGATACAGTGCAGTGTTAATCTAGAGGACTTCCTTTGTGAGATCCACCCCCCCCCCCACCACCGTGTTAGCTATAATATTCTTTTTTTTTTTTAAAGTTTTTGGCCATGCCCCATGGCATATGGGATCTTAGTACCCTGACCAGGGATCAAACCTGTGCCCCCTGTGTCAGAAGCATGGAGTCTTAACGGCTGGACGGCCAGAGAAGTCCCAATATAATATTATTCTTAAAGAAATTCCAATTCAAAGTTGTAATTAAGAGACACTTATTTAAATGTGTAATCTACCAACCAATTTTATTCACACCTGAGACTTTAGTTGTGTTACCAAGATAGCCTTTTTTTTTTTTTTTGGCCTGTATCTGAATAAAGAAATTTTTTTCATGTCTGCAGATATTTTAACTTTTTCAGGATAGTATCAATCAGGAAAGACCTGGGTCTGCTGCACTGCAGGCAGATTCTTTACTGTCTGAGCCATCAGGAAAGCCCCAAACTCTGCCTCAGTTCAGTTCAGTCGCTCAGTCGTGTCCAACCCTTTGTGACCCCATGGACTGCAGCACACCAGGCCTCCCTGTCCATCTCTAACTCCCAGTTCTTTTAATTTCATTCTTCTTCATAGTTTGTAAAAAAAATCCCTAATAAAGAAATACCTTAAAGGGTGAGGTTGATAAAAAACAGATAGTATCATTCATTACCCCATTAAAGAATTTTGTATTCATTGAAATGGTTCTTTTTCTCATTTTTTGACTTTATAATATATGTAGTGGGGAGGAATCTCAGTTTACTAATACAATTTTACAACTTCAAAGAATTCTTCACTTTGTTCTTTTTAATTGTTTAATTAGTCCACCTAATTGCTTGTCTAATTGCTCAAGCTAGGACTTCCAAATACTGTGTCAAGTAAAACTGGCAAGAGTGGGCATCCTTTTCTTGTTCCTGATTTTAGAAGTAACGTTTACAGCTTTTCACCTTTGAGTATGGTGTTAGCTAGGGCTTAGCGTGAAAGAAAAAGTTAGTCGCACAGTCATGTCTGACTCTGCAATCCCACGGACTGCAGCCTGCCCCAATCCTCTGTCCATGAAATTCTCCAGGCAGCAGTACTGGAGTGTGTTGCCATTTCCTTCTCCAGGGGATCTTCCCTACCCGGGGATCAAACCCAGGTCTCCTGCATTGCAGGCAGACTCTTTACCAACTGAGCCACCAGGGAAGGGCCTTTAATACGTTGAGGTATGTTCCCTCTATGCCTGTTTCGTTGAGATTTTTTAACATAAATGTTAAATTTTATCAAAAGCTTTTTCTGCGTCTATTTAGATGATTATCTGATTTTTACCCTTCACTTTGCTAGTGTGGTGTATCATATTGACTGCTTTGTGGATATGAAACCAGCCTTGCATCCCCAGAAAAAACACCACTTGATCGTTGTGTATGCTCCTTTAATGCATTGTTGAACTTTATTTGCAGATATTTGTTGAGGAGTTTTGCATCTGTGTTCATCAGGGATATTGGCCTTTAATTTTCTTTTCTTGTGGAGTCCTTGTGTGGTTTTGATATCAGGGTGATTCTGGCCTTGTAAAATGAGGTTGAAAGAGTTCCTTCCTCTTCTATTTTTTTGGAAGAGTTTGAGAACAATTGGTATTAATTCTTCTTGGATAGAATTCACCAGTGAAACCATCTAACCCTGGACTTTGGTTTGTTGGGAGAGTTTTCAATCTCCTTAGTAGTAATCAGTTTATTCAGATTTTTAATTTCTTCATGATTCCGTCTTGTTTTTAGGAATGCATCCATTTCATCTAGGTTGTCCAATTTGTTGGTATATAACTGTTCACAGTAGTCTCTTATTATCCTTTGTATTTCTGTGATATCTCCTCTTTTATAGAAAACACTAAAGACTCCATAAAAAGCTGTTAGAACTAATAAATGAATCCAATACTGTTGTGGGATGCAAAATCAATGCACAAAAATTAGTGCATTTCTATAAATTAATGATGAAATTTCAAAGAAATAAGAAAAAATTTCAATTTACAACTGCATCAAAAGGAATAAAATACCCAGGAGTAAATTTAACCAAGGAGGTAAAAGACTTGCACACTAAAAAGTACAAGACATTAAGGAAAGAAATTGGAAAAGACACACACAAAAGAACCATATCCCACCCCCCTCAAAAAAAGAACCATATCCCATGCTCAAGGATTGTTGTTGCTTGTTGTTGTTCGGTTGCTAAGTTGTGTCTGTCTCTTTGCAATCCTATGGACTGCAGTCCATGGGATTTCCCAGGCAAGAATACTGGAGTTGGGCCATTTCCTTCTCCAGGGGATCTTCCAGGCCTAGGGATCAAACCCAGGTCTCCTCTACTGGCCCGCAGATTCTTTACCGCTGAGCCACTGGGGAACCTCAAGGACTGGAAGAATTAATATTGCTAAGATGTCCATACTACCCAAGGCAGTCAACAGAGTCAATGCAATCTCTATTAAAATACAAATGACAATTTTCACAGAACTACAATGAATAATTCTAAAATTTGTATGGAACCACAAAAGACAAGATTGCCAAAGCAATCTTGAAAAAGAAGAACAAAGTTGAAAGTATCATGCTTCCCAACTTCAGGCTATATCACAAAGATATACTAATGGTATGATATTGGCAAAAAAATGTAGATCAATAGAACAGAATAGAGAGCCCAGAAATAAACCCACACACTTACGGTCAATTAATCTACAACAAAGAAGGCAAGAATATACAATGGAGAAAGGACAGTCTCTTCAAAAAATGGTGTTGGGAAAACTGGACTGTCACTGGAAAAGACTGTAACAGACACTGGAAAAGAGTAAAACTGAACCACTGCCTTATACCATACACAAAAATGAATTCAAGATAAAGACTTTCACAATGTAAGACCTGAAACCATAAAAATCCCAGAAGAAAACACAAGTAGTAAGCTCCTTTACATAGGTCTTGGTGAGTTTTTAAAAAATCTGA